CCACTCGGGATACAAAAGGAGAAAAAAGCGAATAAGAGACATAAGAATAAACTTCGGTATGACTTCTGTATTTCGAGAATCTGAGACATTTGTCCATGAGAGTGTTAAGTTTTTCTAATCAACAAACTATGAGACTACCGATTCCATTGATAATACTTACACATGCCTCGGTAGCACAGTGGTTAGGACTCTCGTCGACCATGCACATGGTCCCAGGTTCGATCCTCTGCCGACGCACACCTGATATCTATGGTCGGCCTGCGAAATTTGGGCTACCGATATCCATGCTGAAAATTCCATACTTGTACCAAAAATACGGTGTGGAATCAAGCTGTAATCAAAAATAAAAATAAAAAAATAAACTGTGAATTTTGAGGCAGACGCCTCCACCATAAATTACACTTCCCAAAATCACACTGTGTAAAACGGAAATCCTGGTACCCCGTAGAAACTGAAGGTCAGGTACCAACTGTTATGTGCTGACACGAGAGAAACCCACATACACCTTTAGATAACTCTGATCGTCAATCCACCCGGTGGCACTTGAAACACATGCTATTTCAGAAACTAACTTTACAACTTAACTGATGGACGGTGACTAGCAGTGGAATCTAGGATAACGCGCATTTTTTCCTATTTGTGACCCGTTAATTAAGCGGCAGTACCTGCATTCCCCAATGAGTGATGATGTTCCCACCGAGGCTCGAACCCAGTGCCCATAGTTTCCAACGCCAAAGCGTTATCCGAGCACTTGGGTCCAATCAATCGCCGCGAAAATCTAAAATTCAATTAAATACCTTTACCTTTGCGTCGGTGGCATAGCGGTTAGGACGCTCGCCGACCATGAACATGGTCCGGGGTTCGATTCCCGGCCGACACACTCCTTTACCTCACTAAGCCAGTGATAAAGCTGGTATGAGAGAAGGTTAGGCATCAGCCTAGCAACCCCATCCTGTAAAATAAACACTGCTACAGAAACTTCAAGCCACTAGGTTGAAGCTCTATGTTCCACTGGGGAACGTGAAGGAAAAGAAACAGCGTTTTTGAGGATGAATAATAAGTAGTATGTTAGCTTCATGAAGTCTTCAAGAGGAATTCGCCAAACCTGTTTTGTATACTACTGTTCATAGGCTGATCTCCCAAATTACTTACTGATTAGGAAACTATGTAAGATTTAGACCCTTTATAACGGTAATTACTGATGAGACTGTGTTGGTTCAATGAACCACAGATTTTTTTTCTCACATCTTTCAATGAGATTCACACCTGGTACTTCAATAAACCCGCGACGTCTTGTAATGCTGCTTACATAACTGTCTAACAAAAAATGATGCAGGACGGAACATTAATAAACTCCTCAAATACCGTTGGAATGGGGGTATAGGAAGCGAACTGAACATACTTTGCTGAAAACCAATGGGTAAAGTCTTGTTGTTACGAATAATACAATATGCCTAGCCATCGCCTTCCTCGACAAGCAATGTTAGCTGACATTGGGTCAGGTTGGAAAAGAGCCAGTGGTGGTCAAACCAAGACGTGCTACCAGTCAATGGCTAGCTATGAGACATGGTTATTGAAAGTGGAAGACAGCCCAAGCAACTGTTGTCAATCATAGGTGCCTGCGTTCTATCTCCCGTGTGAATTGGTATAATAGGTCGAGGGATATTGAAGTTAGGCCTAGGTTGAGTGACAGGTAAGACGAAGAAATCAAGAGACGAGGTTGTGAAGCAGCTGCATCGATTGAGATGGTTAGGACATGTGTTACGTATCCCTAGTCATCGCCTTCCTCGACAACAGGTAATGTTAGCTGACATAGAGTCAGGTTGAAAAAGAGCCAGCGGTGGTCAAACCAAACCATGACTTCATCAGTCAATGAAATACTTACTTACTTTACTTCGGCTATCTCCTACGGGAGGATGAGCCGGCTTCATGAACATCTCGAATCATCGCTGCCCAGGCGCGGCGACAGTTGTTTGTAAGAGAGCCTCCAAAGCCTCAGGATGGTCGGGGGTGGGTGCCTTGCGCTGCGGGTTGGCCACCCCTCCGCACACCTCTTGAAATGCTCCCATATGACCGGGCGTCTTACATAGCCTCTCCTGAGGAAGTCCTACTCACTGCCTTCACGTGGCGGAGGTGTTTCTCACCAAAGTGAGAGGGCGAAAGCGGATGCCCGGCGCTCTCCACCGGGTTGACTGTCCATTGGATGACGGTCTAGGGGAGATGGCTAAACCCTGATTCCAAACCTCCAACGACTGGCGTATGAAGCTCACTGGAGCTCACCGGCAGACGTATGGACGAAGGGCTTGTTGGATGTCCTGGATGTCTGGCCCCATTCAAAAAGGCGTATGAACCGAACTCCGGTCACCGGTTGCCAATGGATAGTGGACTCCTTACTCCACTCCTACTACCTTGTAGGTCACACTTGGCTGTGTAAAGGCTAGAGCTGCACTCTCAAACAAAAGGCCGAGCGATGCTGGGGACATCACTCGTACTAAATTCCCATGAAACTTCATGAACTCTCTTACAAATTGCCGCGCCTGGGCAGCGATGATTCGAGACGTTCATGAAGCCGGCTCATCCTCCCGTAGGAGATAGCCGAAGTAAAGTAAAGTAAGTAAGTAAGAGAGTTCATGAAGTTTCATGGGAATTAGGTACGAGTGATATCCCCAGCCTCAGGATGGTCGGGGGTGGGTGCCTTGCGCTGCGGGTTGGCCACCCCTCCGTTCACCTCTTGAAATGCTCCCATATGACCGGGCGTCTTACATAGCCTCTCCTGAGGAAGTCCTACTCACTGCCTTCACGTGGCGGAGGTGTTTTTCGCCAAAGTGAGAGGGCGAAAGCGGATGCCTGGCGCTCTCCACCGGGTTGACTGTCCATTGGATGACAGTCTAGGGGAGATGGCTAAACCCTGATTCCAAACCTCCAACGATTGGCGTATAAAGCTCACTGGAGCTCACCGGCAGACGTATGGACAAAGGGCTTGTTGGATGTCTGGCCCCACTCAAAAAGGCGTATGAACCGAACTCCGGTCATCGTCTGCCAATGGATAGTGGACTCCTTACTCCACTCCTACTGCCTTGTAGGTCACACTTGGTTGTGTAAAGGCTAGAGCTGCACTCTCAAACAAAAGGCCGAGCGATTCTGGGGACATCACTCGTACCAAATTCCCATGAAACTTCATGAACTCTCTTACAAATTGCCGCGCCTGGGCAGCGATGATTCGAGAGGTTCATGAAGCCGGCTCATCCTCCCGTAGGAGATAGCCGAAGTAAAGAAAGAAGAAGATATCCCCAGCATCGCTCAATGAAATCCACAACAGTTAGTTTAAGCTAGCCACGTAGGAAAGTGTAGACTTCCTGGTTGGGGTCCTCGGGACGGTAAAAAACAATGGAAGTTGGAGGCATTGGTGTTATGGCTGAAAATCGTTCTCAATGGCGCAGATACATGCACTCTCTGTGACTGACAATACCCAGTGAAACTATGTTGTTCCTCGATATAACTATTCTTTTCGCCTCATCTCTCTTTACTGTCTCTATTTTGCATTACTTTTTGCTTTCTTCTTCTTCTCTAGGTTTGTATGCTGAGTGAAATGTGGCGACTTGAACTGCTGCACATCGGTGCAAGGTTCTACGTTGAAACTAGTCAGTCAATACAACAGGGAGACACCTTGAAGAATAAATAATTACGTTGTAAACCGAATAAGTGAAATTCAAGTATTGGTTTGTAGGGATTTGGTTGATTGGTTACAGGATTTCATCATGAACTGACATTGGTTAGAGAACCACTGGAAAACCTGGGAGTACTGGACAGCTGTTTCGGCCTAGTTTGGGATCCAATGGCTTAATGGTGTACAAGCTCGCCTCGTAACCAGAAGGTCCTGGGTTCGAATCCCGGTGAGTGCGTACTGCTGGAGAGTCCCAAACTAGGACGAAACAAGTGTCCAGTACTCCCAGGTTTTCCAATGGTCCTCTAACCAATGTCAGTTCATGTTGAAATCCTGTAACGAATAAGTGAAACTTGTATGTGGTGAAATGACTGCCCATCACAAACTTCGTTTGCATGCCTTAGAACACTATTCCAACGAAGGGGACTATTGATCATTAGGAAGAAAATATGTGATAATCAAGAAACTCTCGCACCCATCAGTTGATGTGCCATTGTTGTGAAATACAAATTAACATACGAAAAAATGGAATACAGACTGTCATAAGCTATACCTAATATTAATTAGTCAACAGAGAAAGTGACCTATGAACCAAACATATCAGTGCTTGTGCGATTCTGACAAGTCGCTCACTCACCTACCAGGGTTCAACATGTACTGAGAGTAACCGCAAGTACCCTTTATTGTCACGCAGCAATAACTTTCTATCAGAAATCAAGTGGTTACTCAGAGCGCTGTCTCTATGTATCTCAGAATTTACCTTCCATAAGCTTAATTCTTCTCCGCAGGACTATGGGGTCTATAGTCTTAAGTTCCATGTTAATGGAGTTGGTGTCCTTCAATTATCGCAAGATTTTTCGATTCTTACAAACTGAAGTCCCAACTAGTGTGACAGAACTTTGCTGGATTACCATACAATTACTTGCACCTAAGGCACTCTATCAGGTATCTACTATCTACACGAAAACCTTTCTCGAGTCAAAACACAAAGTTATGCAGCTTAGATTAACTTATCTAATGACAGTCACTAAATTTCGACAATAGATTTAAGACTGTTCACAGCCCACCCAGGTCGAGCAAACGATTGCAAGTAAATCCAGTTGGCGCTCTCGAAACACTTAATTTCCACCACTTTTGGTTACCGTTTCACCTGCCGGAGTCTTTAAGTATCGGCCTCCTTAAAAAGACTACGCGAATAACAGGCAATGCTTGCTGTCGTTCTTAATAACTCATGCTGCACTCTCGTAGCTTAGCTTTATTCGCAATTGTTACGCAGATTTCTAGCTATTTCATGTCTAGGTAGCTTCGTGAACTTATGTTCGGAGCCCAAGAGACTGCATATTTTAGTATGGCCGTCATGGAGTCACGGGAGCCTTTTGGAATTTACTAACCCTGTGATTAATAACAGGGAAAAGAAAAGTCGGTTCTTCAATAAAGAATTATATTTACACCATTATTATGCTTTTTAAACTTACTCACCTACTCCACATAAGGATGTAGACAACTCCTTAGTGACTATAATTCACCCTTTTTCCTACAAAAAACCAAATATCACTTTTACCGTGCTCCTTTTGATTTCATCAGCTAAAGCCATTAACAATGCTGAAAAATGTCAGGACGATACTTCATGGTTACCTACCACATTGCGGATGAACCTCTCTAAATCCACCTAAGAGAATATAGAATAACTTAGCACTATTGCCACTAACTTAAGCCGAAACCTGACAGGATGCTGAACAAACTAGTGGATGCAGATGACAGCACGTCAACCAGTTCATTACAAGCTCTGAAATCAACCAACAGGGTACAATATGACATCATTACATGTTTAGCTAACTGTCCCAATATCCACAAAATCAAAACAGGCATGTACTTAAATGGTTTCATAGATAATGATATTGAGAAATGCGTAATAGAAAATTTAACAAGTACATCATTGTTCATGGATGAGCCAATAGCAATGCAGAAATGTATACATTATTCTGTGGTGTGACCTTGTGATTAAAAGCCACCGGTTTGTGTCTGAAAAACTTCAATAGTGTCATCCTCTCCCATGTCCAACTAAAAGGATTAATATGAAGTCATTAGAGATCTTACCGATGCAGGAGTGTCAGTATCATGAATATTATTTCCGTCAAAAATAAACCGTACAGTAGGTTGTTTTAAACCCTGAAATGTAATTAGCCTTGTTTTGATGAATGCTAACCAGTCGATCGCAATAAGCCATCATCAACTTTCGTAAGGGAGTATTTTTCTTTATTTTGAAGTGTATGATTGACCCTTCCTGTCCTTGAACTTTGACATTGATATGCTCAGTTGTCGCTTCCTAAATAGTAATTGAAGCTTAGTAATAACCATGCGTGCAAACGACCATTTACTGTCGAAAAACACTTACCTTGTTCACGGTTTCAGCCATCCCGGTCATTTCTACGTTTCTCGCGGTACTCCGAGGAGGACAAACAAATCTACCTACATTTCAATTCAATGTTCAATACATCCAAAATTAAATAATCTCTGACTTTCTCAACTAAAAACATTCATGTTTTCCACTTTGTAAGACAATATTAACATTTATACTGCGCTACAGTGTCTCAAGAATTTCGCGCGAACTTTGAAAAATATTCTGAAAAATATATGGCAGCCTGTAGACGGACGTAGGTCATTTGATCAGCTGATGGATATTGGCGTTATTTATTGGAGAAACGTCAAGGTCAGGTCATTTTTCGTTGTTTTTCACACTTTTTTACCTATATTAATGCTAAAAGTTGATGAAATGCGGCCTATTTAGCAGAAAGAGCACATGGTGGTGTCCTTATCCGGACGTAGCTTACAGGCAGTTTACGGCTTGCTGGAAATACATAATTTTTCCGTTCAGAAAATGTCTAATTACTTGAAGTCACATGTTATAACGACTTTTTGTGAATTTATTTTGCAGTTTAATGGATTACACATGGACATGATGAGGTGGGATAGCTCGTTTTGGTAATTATTTCACTTACTTTGTTGTGTACTTTGCATAAATGCTGACAAGGCTCCTCCACATGTATTTCTTTAAGGAAAAATTTGCAGGAATACTTAGAAATTATATGCGCATAGTATTTCCTTACTTTATAACATAAACTTGACGTTTGCAGGCAGATGGAATATCAACTTTACATTATTGAAAAATGTTGACTAACATAATTATATGCAGTTCAAATCATTATTTTGTCATTTTAAGCATATTTAATGGTTAATTATTGTGTTTACACTGATGACAATGTCTACATCTGTATAATTCTTATGTTCTTTTTCAGATAATATCTACTTTCGGGAATTTCATGGATTTGGGTGATAAAGAAAAAGATACCTGCACTGTTGTCGATTTTGTATTACATGTTAATTCATTAATAAATGTATTCCTTGTTATTCGTTTGTTTATTCTACTTGATAAGACCGAATATTAGCCCTTGCGTAATTTGTGAGGTATAGAGTATATGAGGCTATCTTTGAAATACTAAGTAGGAGCAGATATTCGGAGAAGCCTATTGGTAAAAGATTATGTTGTAGTCAAATAAATTAAATATGTCTAAATCGTAGAGGAGGTATTGCCATTATAAAGCGTTTCGAGTTATCTATCGTCTTAGCAGAATACATATACTGATTCGCGATTCATAGTCACAAAGTGAGAGTAAATCTACCTGAGATAGTTTGCTTGTGATTTCTGCATGCCGCAGTATACCATAAGGAGAGACTATACCTATGCTGTTAGATGTATGACTCAGTGCAACTACGGTTATCGTAATAATTAAAAACAGAATGCCTAGGGTTATCAGCCAAAGAACACGATACGTTGCTATCTGCTCATATAATCACGTAAACAAAAGTTTTCCAGACACCGCATTTACTCCTAACAGTTTACCCTCAACTTCTAACTTAGCACGTGCTACTTATGTTACTGGAACACAATCGCATTACAACAGAAGGAAGACAGATTCATTGAAAAATTGTTTATTAAACAAAAATCAGATTTCAAATGTACAGATAATTCAGATGAGTAGTCCTCTGTTACCGTCAGTAAGTTCCATCTGCGTACACGGCACATATATGTTTTTCCATAAGTCTGAAAAGGTTTAAGAAAAGCATAATTAACTTGGGTATTACATGTATGATCTGAATAAAAAATTTTCCTGATAAGCATTTACAAGTAATCACTTTACAAACAATATATATATATAAGTAGCCCAATAGTTTTCACTAAACTTAAGGGACTTCGCAACTTATCGTTTGTCGATATCTAGTAGGTCCATCGAAGCATCATGAAATGATAAAATTATTTAACGACAAGTTATGCAGTAGTTTCCAAAGCTTGTACAAATATTTTAGCAAAAATGACAACCACTTTATGACAAATAATAGGTCTTGACAGCAATAATAATATTCATGTTCATAGTGACTATAAAAACAATAATAGGTATTATTATCGCAACGAATTCATCATTAACTTAGATAGACAACTACCAATAATACAATCATATCAAATAAATGTATCACTTAATCTTAAGAAGCATGTGTTTACTTACTTTCACTGTATTCTCTCAATACTGATGTGCTCAACAAGCTTATTCCAACTGAATTCAAGATTAATTCTGAAAGTGAGTGGAGATCCAGTTTATGTCAAATAAAAACATGTAGCTTACATGTATTACACTGCTTACTGAGACATCTGATACCTGCTTTCCGATCTTCGTGACAAGAACACAGTTCATCTAGGTTTACCTACATATACAAAAGTATACGTATATGCTGCATCAACCATGCTGTTTTTATCATGATTAGCCAGACCACTGTGTATATCATACTTATTTAAGGATCTCTGAAAATAATGGTCAAGCGATAATTTAAGTTGCGTGAGGTTATTACCTCTTCAAGACATAGTTTGCATTCTTGACAATCCTGGGAAGTCCTTAGATCGTAATTTGGCATGAATTCGTTGAATTCAGCAAATAAATCTACTGCTATATCATTTCTCTCCTGAGTTGTAATAATTTGTGTTGTCAGTTATCTCCCCAATTTGATAAATCTCTCCCGGAAATTCAGAACTTAACCAAGCAGCAAAATGATGTTTGAAATTACCTCAACTTGAATGACAAACTGGCCAATCACAAGCGAGCGAATCGCTTGTTTATCTCATTCGCGGTCACTCAAAATTACGTCCGTCGACAGGCTGCCAAATGATATCCGTGAAAGAGGGGTTGCGGAAAACTAACGTTCCAATATTAAGTCGGCAAATGCATGCAGTGTGACAGCTGTAAGTGCCTGTTCCAGAACATTTATCCCAACTTAAGCCCTACATCATACAGACTCTGCTGCAAGCCCTCGGCAAACTGGCTGTGTGATGACTGCTGAATCACAAGTGAGATCCGTATCAAAGAAGCCACTGCCGTGTTTAACAGGGCATTAAAATTTCTGGAATGCAAAGGCAAGTAATGCTTAGAAACCAATGACGCATACCACCTCACAAACCTGCCTGAAGTCTTCCTATGATCCAAAGATAAGTGTTAGTGAGTCTAAAAGCATGTATAAAGAGGATAATCGCAGATTTTTTACCAAGATGTTATCGACTGACTGAAACCACGTAGACAGTGTTTGTCTGTCATCCTAGTAAATACTAGGTCAGCTCTAAACAAACACTTAACACTAAGTGTATTATCTTCTGTATGCGTCGGTGGTGGTTAGGACACTCGCCGACCGTGCACATGGTCGGGGGTTCGATATCCTGCCGACGTACAACTGATATAAAAGGTTGGCCTGCACAATTTGGGAAAATGATATCGCATGTTTAGAATTCCATACTTGTACTGAAAATACGATGTAGAATCAAGCCGAAATGAGAAACAAAAAATAATTAAAATGCAGACCGTCAATGATTATGATTACTGAAGCCTGTTGCACAAGTGAAATCCCCAATGACAGCCTAAGAATTGATGACTACTGCCTTTATCGAGGGGACGGACAGACAATTCATATGCGCAACCCAGCTCAGTAACCCAATTCTGTCACAACTCAATGACTCGATCCGGGTTGGAACGAAATTTGTCAGAAGTAAACCTACACTTGTGGGTTGTGTGTACCGACCCCCTTCATCCAGTAGGGAATATGATAATATGCTCAGCAACATTTTTAGTTTTACAGCTAATCTTCCCTTCAGTTATAAAATTATTGGAGGTGATCTCAGTAAGCCAGTAGTATCATGGCCTTTACTACAGGACCCAAAAAGTCTGATAATCTTCTGAATTCCACCGTCACAGAAGGGTGGACACAACATATAAATTCACGCCCTAGATCCGCAAATATTGTAGACCCTATTTTCACGAACAACACAACAACATCTACAGTACACGTGAGGCATGAATTTTCAGGTGGAGACCATGAAATAGTAGTATGTTCTTTTAACATCTTTCCTGAAACAAAACGCATAGATCAAGCTGACTAAACATGTGGAAGATTATGCACACACGCTGGACGGAACTTGTGTCGGCATCTAATCAGATGGTCAAATTGGAATTCGTAGTTTCCGAACGAGTCCTTAGAGTCAATTCTTAATAATTTTTATCAATTTAATAAATCGGTTTATGATGTCATTGCACCTGAGAAGATTCTTAGCTTCCAATTTCCCCAAAGCGGTTATATTCCGACATCGTCAAGGAGAATTATATGAAAGCACTCAATAAAATACTACAGACATCATAACTTATCATCACTGATTGCTATTACGTCCCTTCTCACTATAATTCAAGAGCTAAAAAATATAAGCCTCAGACACAAAGAAATGCGATCCATTCGGGCGCAGCATAACTCAAGAAAAATGGCCAAACTTTTCAAGAGTAGGTTGACAAGCTCCGAAACAGTCTGTCCAAAAATAGTATGCTTAGTCGGCATTGCTCATGAGAATACCGAGGTGATGTGTGAACTTTTTAGTGAACACTTTGCCAAAATATACACCTTGGAGGACGGTCAGGCCGTGCATTTCCCATGTAAAACAGACGAATTTCTAAGTGTTATACTTGTCACCACACAGGAGATCGATAAAGCTATCTGAAATCCTGATAACACTACTGGTCCAGGCGGTGTATCTTCCATTCTGCAGATAAGGGTGGAAATGACGTAAATCTACTCCTGCTCAAGTTATACTCAACCTCACTAAGCGAAGGGATATACCCTACCTGCTGGAAGAAGTCTTATACTGTACCTATCCATAAATACCGGCTTATAGCTGATATCAACAACTACCGCCCCAACAACATCCCGTCTGTGCAGTGGAAAAGATAGTAAAGACTCAAATCATTCGGTACTTGCTGTCAAATGACCTACTCTTCCCATGGCAATATGGTTTTTCAGGTAGTAGTTCGTACATTACAATGCATTGAAGTTGGGCGTTCAGTAACAACATTATTTCTTGAAGTTAACATAGCCTTTGATGAAGTCCCACATATCAATCTCCCAACAAAACTTCAATCCTACGGAATAACTGGAAGGTTTCTCGAATGGGTAAATTCTTTTCCCACAGAAATAGAGCAAACAGTCAAAGTCGACCA